CCCAGTGCCAGAGAGAGACGCCAGCCCAGTGCCAGAGAGAGATGCCAGCCCAGTGCCAGAGAGAGATGCCGAGCCCAGTGCCCGAGAGAGACGCCGAGCCCAGTGCCAGAGAGAGACGCCGAGCCCAGTGCCAGAGACGCCGAGCCCAGTGCCAGACGCTCGGGTGTGGCATCTAGACCAGCGAAGGAGACAGAGAAGCCTTGAATGCAATTACCACCAAAATAAACATAATAAACCAGACAATAAATGGAAATATGTGAATAATGAACAATGAATAATGAATAATTAATAATGAACATAATAAACAGGACAATTTATGAAAAATTTTGATAGTTATCCCGTTCTCTTCGCCGCCATAAATATAACCATAAATAGGAGAAGCAACGCGATCGTGCCTTTCAAAACCTACATTAATTACCTTCAATTCCTAAATCAAACTCAAACGTGATCATAATATAATAAAAGTCTCTCTAGAATTTAAATTAAATTTTAAATTAAATTTTTATTTACTGTACATTTCCAAAACATAAGAATTTAAATACGAAAATTAAATACTTCTTTTACTCTCTAACTCATGCCTTTTGCTTTATATATATTTTCCTCTCATCTTATACGGGCTTTATATAGATATAGAATGACTTAAAATATAATATAGAAAATGTAATTACCTAAAATATAAATGAAAAATTTAAATATTTACTCACACTGTCACTCCCATGTTTGTTTATGTTTTGGAGGCAAAAAAGTTATCGTATTGAAAGAGAAAATTGTCGTGCGTTACTTTTTTCGGCTTTTATTTCAATTCCTCGCAGATGGGTCTGAGTCCAGAAGCCTTTTATAATGCGTATGAACTATTGATAGATGCATATGTTCATGATTAATGGTATGTATGAGTTGGTGATGGAATAAAGTGGAATGGAAATAAATCAATGCGGTGTTATTTACGGCCATTATCGTACATCGGCAGCCCTCGCCCAAGCGGCCTGCCATCTAGCGGCGAGAAAAGGAACTTGAAGCCTGCCATCTAACGGCGAGAAAAGCAACTTGAATTCCGCGCCGCTCGTGTGCTGTCATCTGTTGGTGGAAAAGTGAACTACGAGGCACCCTCTGTTCCCCCTGCTCAGTGTTAGCAATTGCCGGATAATGTTATACTACTATAATGATGTTATCCTATGACATATAGTTATAGTTGGTGTTGTTTAGAGCGACTTTGAATAACGGCGACTATAAGATTTTAAACAGGCGACAGCCAATCGCGTGATATACAGAGAAGGGAGTGATTGTAACCCGGGTTTTCATTGGGTAATCATTGGCAACACTGCCTCGCCCACTGCGCCGGCTCACTCCAGCGCTGATGGGAAGAGCAGGTTGCCGTTCCTTTTATCTTATTTCCTGATTAGAAGGCGATCTGGGATGTACTATCAATTGGAAACTGTTCTGTCCGTCATTTGTAGCGACACAGTGTGGTGCACGACGCGTTAGAAGCAAAGGGGTGGCACTAGCAGGCGCAGCAAGAGCGGCGTCTAGGGGTCTCCGGGCCTCCCCTCGGCCACGTCGCGCCCATTGATCGCGGCCGCAGTAGTGTCCCCTCGGCGGCGGCGAGCGGCGACGTGACAGTGCAGTGAGGCAGTGATGGCAGTGTGTTGTGCTCGGCAGTGATGATTATGGTGGGATGTCGCGCGACGTGTATGGCGGAGGCGGTGGGGGAGGAGGGGTGCCGAGTACCAGGTCACCCCGACCTTCGCGCCGCGACCTGAATAGCGACCCTTATTACCTCGATCAGGGCGGCCACCACCGCGCCCACAGCCCTCAACCCTCAGCCGCTTCAGCAGCCGCGCGCCGTAGCCGTTCAGCTACCCGCGCCGCGTCCCCCACCCTGGCCCTGGACCACGGCGGGCCATACATGGACCCCCACGGCACCATGGATGCGGACCGCCGCAGCGGGTCAGCTCCGGGGTCCCATCACCGCAGCCGCAGCCAAAGTCGCAGTAACTTAGGCCGGAACTATCACTCGCTGGACCGCGAGGCGCACGACCGCGAGTTCATGCCAATCCGCGACCCCCGCGACCGCAGCATGGAGCGAGGGGGCGCCATGGACATGCACGGGGTCCAGGGCGGCCACATGGCCCGCCGAGACCGCTCGCTGGACCGAGGACCGATGCTGGAGGACGACCTGTACCGCGACCACCACACGATGGGGCGGTCGCGGGGCAGCCCCAACCCGGAGCTGAGTGGGCGGCACGGGGCGGGCGGCCTCGGGGGCATGGGGAGGGATGGATACCTAGCTGAGCTTCAGGTGCACAATTCTGACTTACAAAAAGAACTAGGTAACTTGAAAAAGGAACTAGAACTAACTAACCAAAAACTGGGCTCGTCAATGCACTCCATTAAAACTTTCTGGTCGCCAGAGCTCAAGAAAGAGCGAGCGCTGAGGAAGGAGGAGAGCGCGAAATACTCGCTCATCAACGACCAACTCAAGCTTCTCAACTCAGAGAATCAG